CGTGCCACACCTTATGAGTGTCCTAGACCAGCTAGGCATGTCTATGCATGCGCGAACTAACTTCATCAAGTGCGTGTTCCCATGCCATTCATCTGACATAACCGACACCGACACTGACGTTGACGTACACAGTAACAACATTTCCGCATTTTCAGCCCACAAAAACATTGCCTACCGCTTCCTCTCCCCTTCAAAGATAGCCGCCGCAATTGACATTTCAGTTACTTCTGACCCCTGCGTCTTTACGCGCCTATTTCTCATCTTCCGCGGGTTATCGGACGACGATGTGGGATTGTTTGCAGGTGCAGGCGAGAAGGAGGCGAATTCAGTCAACTGGAGAGAGATTGTGGGGTGGAGCGAGAATTCGAAGGACACAACTCAGTTCAGGCTTCTCGAAACTTCTGTGTTTGAAGTTACCTAGGAGGGAGATACCTTTGAGCCGAGGTGGATAACTGGTCTTCCCACCTCCAGACGTGTCCCTCATGTCACTGGTGATTCCTTGTTACTCGCCAGAGATTAACATTCTTCTGTTTCTGTTTTGCGACGCCCCACCTTTTTGAAACGTCTCTGCATTTGATATCTTAGAACATTGTCAGGCTATACCATCGCTGTCCTGCACATGCTTTCTTGTCACGTCCGCAGCTATTATATCTATTCGATATCTGCTCCGCCTGCGCAACTTTATATTTCTCTGGTCTTGCATTATTTTGACGACCCTGGCTTTCCTACATGTTTCTCTTAGCGATTTCTCTTTCTCTTGATGATATGTTGTTGTATCCGCAGTTGTACTGTAGTCGATATCGAAATTGTAACAGTGAAGGATTAGTCACCACAGTCATGATGCAAAAGCGCGTGACCGTGACGTCACGCGACGCGTTCGATTGGTCTCACCGATCTTGTCTTCAACTACCTGCATACACGATGTCCGAGTTAACAGCATAGTAAGTTCATTTCATCTTTCGCGCAGAGTCCCGTAATAATCATTTAACTCAAGTGAACTTGAGCGTGAAGCTAACATTGCGCGCAACCGCGCGCTCCTGGAGGAGCTTGATCTCAAGGACGTTGTCACTCAACTCGGCATCCCGCCCAAACCCAAGCCTGCCAACAGAACAAGAGCAAAGCCCATACAGCCTGCGAAGACAGTGAAACGAGCGCGTGAAGTTGTAGAGGCGCCTCGTAGGCAAAGTGCACGTCTTAAGAATGGAGTCGTGAATCCAAATGAAACTGCCGCGCAGAAGAGGCAGCGAGAGGTGAGCGCCAGTATGATTGTAGTCTTCCAGCATTTACGATTGATCACGCTGCAGGAAGAAGAAAAGAAGAGGCGCCAAATTGAAGAGCAAGAACGCCTCGAGGCCGAGGAGAAAGCTCGTCTTGCAAAACGCCCCAGACATCAGGAATTGGATCTTACTACGTTGGGGGACACACTAGAGGAGTCAGAACTCAGCTCACTCCGATCATCCCTGCAAGCTGTCACGAATGTTCCGTTACCAAAACGTATCGCAGATGTGAACGCATTTGTATTTGATGAAGACCAGAAGAATGAAGCTGAAGTTGAAGAATTGAGAAATAAACTTCAGAAGCTGAGGATAGTGTCTCGCGCCAAGGTGACTGCAGATAGAGTCTACAGCGCTGCCTACCACCCCGATGCTACCAAGGACCTAGTATTCTTTGGGGGTAAGGTACCGTGATCAAGTTATTGGCAAGTCGCTAACATGCATGTAGACAAACACGGTCAAATTGGAATATGGGATGCCAGAGCTCCTATAGATGAGGTTGAAGATGAAGACGGTGACATCTCCGCGGACCATAGAGAAGGCGGGAAACATTGGCGCCTCCAGTGTCACTGGCCAGCTTCTTCGACATCGTCAATATCATCTATAAAATTCGACCCAGTTGATGCGCATAGTGTGAGGACACCACTTGTTCATGGAATGCCTGCACTAAGAGCATTTTATAGCTATTTACGACCTCATACGATGGCACAATACGCCATTTTTCTTTTGTCTCGGGGATTTCGCAAGAGATATTCTCTTCAGAATATCTCATCACAAGTGTGGATCTTCCAGTTAGTGGCCACGAAATGTGGATATCCGACGCTGCCGGCGGCATCACCCACCTTGATCTTCGGGAACCCAAAGACAAGGCCTGTTGGTATGGTCTCTCACCTGCGAAAATTGGCACCGTTAGCATCAACCCGACAAATCCACATTTCTTGCTTACGGCTTCGAACAGTCGTGTATTGAAGTAAGACATAATTATCATCTATGCCCTTGTCTTCTTTTCTCAGCAATGGGTTTCTAAGGGTGTGGGACAGCAGGAAGCTGCAGAAATTGACCTCCGCGACTGGCCCATATCAACTCAGCCAATACACTGTCGAAGACTTAGTCTATTCAAAGAAGGGAAAGGGCACTGTTCGCGGTATATTTCAACATGGAAAGTCGGTGAGCTCAGCATACTGGGACCCGAGAGGGAGAAGTATCGTCAGTACGAGCTACGACGATTCAATCAGACGTGGGTGATATATTTGCGTGCGTCAAGGCAAACTGACCGTTTTACAGTGTGGGATTTGGATGTCGCGAAGTACAATTCGTCATTCGGTTTCCCCTCCTTCACGCCGTTCCGCGGGATAAAACACAACTGCCAGACAGTAAGGACCAGCCTTATCATCGTACTCCGTTCTCCTTTATTGACGCTTTCCAGGGCAAATGGGTAACTATTCTTCGTGCGGTCTGGAATCCCAACCCAGACGTGTTCCCCCACTTCACAGTCAGTAATTTGTTGCAACCGGGCGCAGCCTATCGTCTGACTGGTGGCACCATAGATTGGGAATATGAGCTACGCTCTGGACATATATTCATGCAAGGTACTCATCCACACATTAGCTGGATCCTTTTGACTGGCTCTGACAATTTTTTAATTTTAGGGACACTTGATTGCAAGACTCAAAGACAGTCGGTCAGTAATCTGAGTTCTGGGTGACCATAACTAACTTTGTCATCTCAGGCTCACTGCTACACAAGCTGTAACATGCTCCCACCCAAGCATTGTCGAAAGATGTGCAACAGGAAACGCAAGTGGGCGTTGTGTACTCTGGGCACCACCAGATGTAGAGTGACGGGATCTAATTCATATCGTTGTATGCTATCGTAGCGGCGCGAGCGCCAATCCCCGACTCCACAAGAAGACACCAAGACAAAATCTGATTCGCAGATATTTGTAAGACAACAACATAGGACGCTTATGCAGTTTCGACCCAAGACAAAGAAGCCACCAAGAAAAACAACCACTTGAATCTACTCAACTACAGTATACTCAAGCTACTCGAATGCATCACTCGTAGTCGGGTAACGATGAAACCATATATGCACTGCGCGCACACGATAATTTTTTTGTTTTTCCTCACAAAATAGAGACAAGAAACACACTGAACTGAGACACTATCCAAGAAGACCGATAAACATTGGTCTCACTGTAGTAGAACTAAATTGAGTAGACGTCTAAGTCTCGAAGGCAGACACTCCTCAACAGAGAGCTGCACAAGAGGAAAGCTTGTGCAAGACAACACAATAATGGTAACCTATGTCGGCAAATTCACTTGCAATTGGTGCCATGATATTTGCTGGTGGCATAGTGATACAAATACCGTCGTATGAAACACAACCATGAAAGTTTACCAGTGACACTTCGAGTAACACAAAGGATTAGATTCAAGCGAAGTCTTCAACCATGTGCAAAAGCGTTCGGATGCTTCAAAAAATGCAAGATTAAATTGTGGATAATAGAAGGCATCGTAATAACGGGGACATTGTTTCACACCATGAGGCTGATTGCAAGGATGACATTATCCCTCATCGAGGAGGCAAGACAAACGACAGGGCAACTTTGGAAAAAACCCCTGAAAACACATGAGCTATACTGCAATGATACGAAAGAATCGAGAAGGAATTATACTCGCATGCGTGCTTCACTGTATCCGCAACCGAGCGGCTGACAGGCCCCAGACTCGGACCCAGACAATACCCCCCGGAGTCGGTGACAGACTTGCCCCACAAACTGTCCATTTCCTGGACGTTCTCACTTTCCGAATAACGGGAAGTGTATGCACTATGGGTTTCAAAGGGATGTCTCGCAATCGCCTACTTCAGTGACTTGTAAGTTGTTCAACGTTGAACGCAGACGTTTGCGCCAAGCTTCAGGTGTCAATGTAGGCCCAGTCTATTCCTGGCTTTCTCCTTTCCACCCCTCTCTTCAATCCAGATGGCTATAATCTCGTCCATGGCGAATGCTGATGGATTTGTGGAGGAAAATGGTTACTCGGTGCGGTTAGGGTCCGATAGATCAATTGTTCATGCGGAATGTCACTCGACTGTGACCTCACTTTTTGCGCCTACTATTTTCCAAGTAAGTTTCCCGCACTCAATACCCATCTGAGTGTCTGGAGTCTGGACGCGCCCCAGTGGTTGCGGCAGAAACGATTTCTGACGACAATTTCCAGATTCTGTCGCGCGTACATGATTCGATGCGGACGCAAAACAATATTGTGGATTGTGCTCGAAAAATCTATGCGCAGATCCCACTTGACAAAATTGCGAGACGCCGTTGCAGTAGGTGATACGATGTGATAGATCAATCGACGTTTTCGGGTGCCAGTTTCTGACGCTGACCTTCCCAAATGGTGTGATTATTGAACGTTCGAACGTGGAACCCTCGTAATCGTCACTTGGTATGCTATATGGTCTAAGCCTGTGGCAGCAACTTGCCCTACCCAATGCCCATGGATAAATCATCACATATTCGAGCTCACCAGCTCCAGCACGAAACGATTATCCTTGAATTATCGTTTGGTTGAGGAATGAAGCTTAGAAACATGCGGCGGTTTCAGAAGAAGGCGCAGCTTAGGTGGTGAATTCGGAAGAGAGGGCTGTGGGTTTTCATGCATCATGCATCACGACTGCAAGCTTGGGAAGCGGAAGAATCTGAGCTTTCACTGCAGTAAACCGTGGAAATCGAAAATTAAGGGCGCGTGAGATAATAAATAAATCAAAATAACGCGTCCTTGCACCAGAACATTAATCATGTCTCTCGACGACATCTGGGACGCGCCAATTTCCCCCACTCACGCTGTTACGCCACATTCTGATACAGTTAGCTCTCAGAAGCGCCCAAGAGAGACACTATTTCTTTCTGACTCAGACAATGAGGATGACCGACCAGCGCCGAAGAGACCTACTAGCTCGGCACCAAGACCAGACGTAGACGCGCTCTTCGCCGACATCGATAATGATGACGTAGGGGAGGAGGATGACTTGAGATATAAGCCCCTTGCACCTGCCCTTGACCTTGAGGCACTCCGCAAACAGGCCGAAGCAAAACACGCACTGACACCCCACCAAATCTTGCCTAGCAGTTCTCCACCAAGAGATTTAGGTCCCGACGAAGACGATGAGGGGGAAAAGGAAAAGGGGAAAGGAAAAGAAGGGAAAAAAGAGAGAAAGAAGGTTGTATTACTCGATGAAACAAGTTTAATTGGAGCATCGGGATTTCCACAGCTCATTCAAAATATCAAGGACTTTAAAGTCAAAGGGAAAGGTCATGAGGTGAGTTACACTGACAGCGTACTTGTGCTCTGATGCAGATATCCAGATATCTGTTTAGCATTCAGACCTCCAGCGCATTCTCCAAGTGTACCAGTTTTGGTCTCATAGATTATATCCCAAGACTCCGTTCAAGGACACCGTTGAGCGCGTCGAAAAACTATGTCACTCAAAACGAATGCAGGTACGACCGAATATTAATCGCATTCGCATATCACAATCACACATCAATGAAGGTCCGACTAAGTGTATGGCGTGATGAGGCGAAAGGCCTTGTCAATGGCAAGGAACCAGGAGAAAATGGTGGCGACGATGTTATCGACCTCACCGATCCAAACCTTGAGGGCGCAGACGTGAATGACGATTCGTCCTCTTTGCATGCCCCATCCCTTCCACCCTCATCGTCAGAGGCCGAAGATGACAACTTTGATATCGATGCAATCGTCAGAGAAGAGGAGAAACGCCTCGCTGCGTTTAGAGCACAACGTTCGGTTTCCCCTGCACCACCTGTACCGAAAGCCAAATACAAAGTTTTGCCACCCGAAGTTGCAGATGGGATGGATATCGACGAAGAGGCGATGTGGAATAACCTCGAAATACTTGATGACTCAATCCCCAACCCTGCTCCACCTCCGGAAAGTAGTAAATCGAGCCTCTCAGTCGATGACCAGGATGAAGAGATGTGGGATATGGTGCGGGAATTGGAGAGAGAAGAGTATACAGCATCGAAACAACTTCCTGTGTCATCTGTGCTGAGTACGCCTGCGGCAGAGAACACTAACATATCTCTCGGGACAAATGACGAAGACATTGATGATATATATGCGTAGATTCAGATGGTACGTACATGAGCAAATGCCATATTATAATCTTGTCGTTGAACACAATAGCCGAGCTTCTTTGATCATCACGTCCATCCGTCCTCCCACTCCAACCAATGTAGACATACTCTTTGATATCAGAAGAACCGCCAGGCTTAGCTAAGAATAGCGTCTAGCCGGATTCACGTGACCTAAGTCTTGATAAACAGATCTTGGATGATCACAGAACGATAAACAATGTCTTCGACCAATCCAATTCCAAACCTTGAAGCAGGTATTCAATACTGGGCCACTCAGCCCGCAAACTACGACGGCGTGCTTGGTCTGCTTCATTGCTAACCGTTTTGCCATCGAACATCGGCTAACATCGCATCCAGGTGGATTTGGAACGGGGGTGACTCTGATCTCAATCCTCACCGACGAACTTTTGTACTGAAGTATTGATGACAGTCACTTCCTCGTGTTGATTCTCTTGGATCACGTCGCTTCCTCCTCGACCTCCTTCCTGAATTATCCACAGTTCCATCACCGTTTCGGAGTCTCTCCGCCCCTCCATCCGAAACTAAGCGTGTGAGAGCTCTTGACGTTGGCGCAGGTGTCGGGCGCGTCACATCAGACGTCCTCCTTCATCTTGTCTCGGATGTTGTCCTGCTTGAGCCTGTAGAGCCTTTCATCAACGAAGCCCGATCTCGTGGAAAAGCCAGCGAATCCGGTTCAGAAATCAACGACAGCGGGTATAGGGTTTCATGGAAGGGTATCGCTGATCGATCGAAGAGCGTCACATTCTTGCAAGGTGCCTTGCAATCTTTTGACCCGGTCGTACTAGGGACACCCCTGGATCGTGTCGGTTATCTGCCGCAAGGTGGTGAAGACGAAACGGAAACGGGATTCGACGTGATATGGTGCCAATGGTGCCTCGGTCACTTGAGAGATGATGATCTTGTGCATTTCCTTCAGAGGAGCAAGAAGGCTCTACGTGATGCGAGGAGTCTCATCGTGGTGAAGGAGAATATATGTGGCAAGCAAAACGAGCCGGTGACTGTTTTTGACGAGCAAGACTCTACCTTCACTCGGTTTGTAAGAAGTGATTATGTATTACAAAACCTTGACTTTGCTCCATAGGTCAGATCTCGCATTCAGAAATATTTTCCGGGATGCTGGTCTCAAAATCATCGAAGAGAAAATTCAACACGGGCTTCCCAAAGGACTATACCCTGTGAAAATGTACGTTTACTCTGGCTGGACTACCATGTCATTATGCTTACTTGCTTCAGGTACGCACTACGGGAGGCATGAGATGTCCTTCAGTAGTTGATTATCGTCGTCAGCAATGCATGCATGCGTTATATGTGATTGCGTCCGTAGTGCAAGAGTATGTACCGTCGAGCCAACATAAACACATTGCTCATCTGACATCATCTGAACTTCTATGCCAACGTCATTGCCTACACAAACAGCTATCATCGTTGGCGTTGTACGAGTTTGACGTTGTTGATATGCCCGAGAAGGCTGCGAACAGAGGTTTGACACGACGATGTCGCAGATCTATTCGTCGAACTGAATAACGCCCGTCATGCCGACAACCCCTTCATCGCTTTCGCACCACAATTCCGCTTTGTCTTTTGCCACAATAGCACCATGTATCGTCGCGGCACAATTTACAAAAATTGGATTGTGTGCACGATAGCTGAAGGTGCGCAGTCTGGCCCTTGGTCGGTGGTAAATGAGACACTCCAGAAGCATAAGGGCTGTCAGGGGCCCATGAACGAGTCTTTCTAGTGACAGGAGTTAGATGATATTAGTTGAGAAGTAAAGCTCGAACTCACCTGGATATCCTTCGACTTTCTGCGCATAATCCTTGTCCAAGTGTATGTGATGCCCGTTGAATGTGAGAGCAGAAAAACGGAATAGCGTCGTCAGGGTCGGAGTGTACGACAACGAAAACTCAGACTTTGAGAGATCGTTCACTAATTAGATATGTCCACATCAGCACACAAATAAATCACGGGTTGTCTCGAGGACTGGCCTTGACGGGGTACGCGGCTCCCTATACTAGCTACAGATGGTTGGTAGACATGCGCTCGTTCCTCCACCATCCCAGGTTCACTTCGTCCTTCCGCAGTCACTTCAATTCTCTGTTTGACGAATATCATCGGCTTCCCGACCTCAAATCCTTTCTTCTCGACCTTGGCTACAGTAGACACTGCAGTAGCTTTCTCTCCTACTTTCAATTCTCTTTCCTTGTTCCATGTCATGGTACCACCCGCCCACATCCGGCGTGTGAATGGTTCAGGCGGACAGAAGTCGGCGTCGGTCCCATCTGTGCGCAGTAATGCCTCAGGATTACGCGGGTGGAAGAAGGCAAGGTGGTGTCCATATCCAAGAGGTGTACCTTCTACAGGGGACGCAAACGGGCGACCACGCGTGCCGTCGCGAGTGGGTAGAGTGATGTAGAGATCTGAAAGGTGATTAGAATGAAAGGCATCAGTGAGCGCAAGTGATTTCGGGGATGCTATCCAGGTATCGAGAGCCTCCAGGTTGAGAGAGGATGTTGGAAGGAACCGAAGAGCAGGCCGGGTCCACGAGCGCATGGGGATTCAGATAAGTCGACTAAGTCTAGTCAGGACATGAGTTTCACCTTTACAATTGGGGTTTTCCCAAATAAGAAGTCTGCAGGGTTCAATCAGGGTTATCTCTGGTTATGCATGTTTCAGCGTGACCAAACGCCTGGCCATAAAATTTTCTGCTTATCCGACCGACATCAACACTATATTCAAGACATTGTCACATCTTTGATAGGCTTTTTGAAAGAAGTTTGCAGGGTTCAATCAAGGTTATCTCTGGCTACAGTGCATGTTTCAGCGTGACTTCGACATAAACGCCTGGCCATAATTTTTTAACAGGCTGCGACATCAACACTATACTCAAGAAATCGTCACATCTTTGATAGGCTTTTGTAGGTTTTCATGTTGTTTTCATGCAGATTTCAACGTACTTAGTAAGTGAAGCTTCGCTCTGATGGTGGCTCCTGATGACGGGCCCGTTCAATCGGACAAGATCAAATTTCCTGTGCTATGTACGAGATGTCTGAATGCGCGTACTAGTATGATTTCATCTCGAATGCACTCAGCGGCAGCCCAACCGCCGGAACGACAGCACATATAATCAACCGTTGGGGCGTATCGAACCACGGTTCTCTAGATACTACAACTTGAATGTCTAACCCAAAATATAGGATTGCTATCTGGTAAGGTGTCTTCAGGTTGTGGCCGCAGTCAAGTTCATCACAATACTATTCTAGCGGGGGAGGGGTAGGCGGTTTGACATTAGCTGTTGCTTTGTCCCGCTACCAGGATATTGCCGTCGACGTGTATGAAGCCGCGCAGAGCTTTTGTGAGATTGGGGCTGGTGTTGGTGTCTGGCCTAGGGCATTCAGGGTGCGGATCTTAGAAAAGCGACGGTATGCTAACCCCAAACAATCATCCAGGTCTTGAGAAAATTTGGACCCGACTTCGAACAGCAACTGCTTCAACGCTGCGGTTACGATTACACAGACGAATATGGTCAGTGGAAATCGTATACAATACAGGTCCAAATCCGCTGAGAGAACTTCAGTCCCAACTGTTAGGGGCCGTAAAAGCGATCAAGCTGTCGGCATTGACCTGTTTGATCTGATGACGAAAGGTCAGATTTCCTCTGCATTCAAATGCATCACACTCTGAACACCGTTGGTAGAACAGGCAAACTTATGCGTTTGCATCGAGCCGACTTCCATGGCGTACTACTCTCATTTCTTCCACCGTCCTGCGCAACGCACAACGCCAAGCGACTGATATCATACACCCAGCCCTTGGAAGGCAGTCCGAAAAATTCACCAATTACGCTAACATTCACGGATGAATCAACTGCTACGTGCGATGTTTTAATTGGTGCCGACGGGATCAAATCCACAGTCCGGCCCTGCATGTTGCGCGAATTGGCTGAGGGCTTGGATCCCGATGAGAAGGAATCTGTGCTATCTTGCATGAGCCCAATTTGGAGCGGTGTTGCTGCGTACAGAACACTCGTTTCTGCAGAGAAGCTGCGCGCGCGTTGTCCTGACCACCGTACCTTAAGGGAGTTTACTCAGGTAAGCTTGATTCTTGTTGCATTTCACACCATTAATTTGGCGATGCACCTCCATTCACAGTACATGGGAAAAGATGCTGTGAGACTCTTTAATCTACGGTTTGCACTGTGCTGAGGCTGATGCATTGTAGTACTTTCTTGCATACCCTGTTTCTCTTGGACAATATGTTAATTTTGCGGGTTTCACGCTTGAACGCGATGTCGTTGACTTGGCGTATAAAGCTGACACAGAAATTCCTCGTCCGTCTTTCAAAGGGAAGACAAACGATGAGTGGGTTAGTGAACTCACTGCTCAGCAGTTTGTTGAGCCTTTCAAAGACTTTGAAGAGGATGCACAGCACCTTCTCGAGGTCTGTCGTTCGTATCTGAGTTACTGTTCATCACTGACGATTTCCAGTGTGTGGAAAAGGGCACGCTTTGGGCTGTACACACTGTGAAAACTTTACCGTCCACTAATTTCAGGCGAGTTGCGATCATGGGAGATGCCGCACATGCAATGACGCCGTTCCAAGGCTCTGGTGCTGGCCAGGGCATCGAGGTCGGTTATGCACGACTGCACTCCGAGAAATTTACACGTGCTGATTTGATTTGATAGGATGCTTACTTGCTTATGACTGTTCTTGGTCATAAATCCACAACCCTAGAAACGGTACCCAGGGCCCTCGCCATCTACGACAAGTTGAGAAGGCCATTTTCATCAGAAGTGGCACTGCGCTCGATGCGTGGGGGGCAACTATGCGCGTTTCAAGAGGACGTCCCTTTGCACGAGCTCGGTGATGCGATCACCAAAAATTGGGAGTGGGCATGGCTGACCGACTTAGATGATGCTCTGGAAGAAGCTGTCAGGCTTGTGGAGGACAGCTCGATCGATGTCAACTGAGAGATCTGATGTACGCTGCCACAGCAGCCCTGTGTCGCGAGCTGAGAATAGCTGAGAATGTAAGATGATTCTGTATATAACATGTATTCTGGCTCGGAGTTATGACTACTCGACTGTTTCCTCTAGGTCTACTTCTTTCTAGATACCACTATGTAAGTCTTGTATGGATATTGATACGTGCCCTCCTCCTTGTTAATCCAAACTCTACCATCTCCCCGCTCGAGGATACCTTTGACGTTCTCCACTACCTTAGCCTTTTCGTCTGGAGGGAGCACGGAAATGTAGCTCTTACTCTGAGCGCGATCCGTAACAATTTGTTCGCTAGCAAGAAGATGATATGCCCATTCTACCTCCTCCTGAGGATGGAACAAGGAGGTATACTCAGGTGTAGAGAACGTCTTTCTCCAGAGACCGAGGCGAAATTGGGGCGTCCCTTGCTCATGAGCCTCGATGCAGTCACGGAGTTGTGCAACCCAACCTGCACCGTCTCTTCAATGCTGTCAGACAATTTGATACAAAGAAAATAAGATAAACAAACCTGTCTTCAAGGTTCCAGATAAATACGACTGCGCCGTCCTTCTTCAAGATACGACCGAATTCAGCTGACGCTTTCCCATAATCAGGGCACCAATGGAATGCCTGTATGTCCGAGGGGTAAACACCTACACCTACCTGATTCAGCCCTTACAATATCACTTACCTGTGCAATAATGATAAGGTCTGCCCATCCGTCTTCCACACCAGTATCATCAAATGTCCCTTTGGCAATAGAACTACGACTATCATCGACAGTCTTCCTCCACACGTCACACATGCCGTCGCTAGGTTCGACAGCTCTCAATGTACCAATGCTCGTAGCCCACTCCGGGTGAGCCAACAAGGCACGAGAGAAGATACCTGTCCCTGCCCCAATTCTGAAAGCCAATTGACAAGAAGAAACAAAAGCAATGCGTGTGACTCACTCGACAATATTCAAAGGTGCTGTGCTCTTGGATAACTGACGCATGTACGAAAGACACTCAGTTGGGTACGAAGGGCGAGCCCTACACACAGCTCGTGAATTAGTGCGCATGTAGATCATGCGGACCGAGGTCAACTCACCGATCATACAGTTCATTCGTCCCAGTGCCGAATCCTGTCTCTGCAATAACATGTACTTTCGTCGCCATGGTACGTGTGAACTTCAAACTTGACGTAGAAGAAGCAAAGACGAGTCGCTGAACTCGCGGAGATACGAGGCTAGTTATCATAGGTGGAGAGCCAGCGCACAGACCTTATTTATGTGCATGCCATGCAGTCACGGTGGCCTTCGGAGACCCGCGTGTCTAAAAATGTGGGACACCAAAACAATGAAATCGCCGAAACTGCCGAAGCCTCCTGAAAGTACTAGTAATAGTTTGGTGGGGACTTGCTAGCATCCATCCAATGGTCACCGTGACACTATTTTACATAAAGTTCGGCAGAACTAGTTATCAAGCTTCAAATTTCAAAGCGGCCTTGAATCAGCGGTCGCTGCGGTCCGCCATGTTTACGTATGTTCTGGTGGCACGATGCGTTCGAGTTTCGGCTTGCGCGCCCTTGGTATCGCGTCTTGCTTCGTCGTATATACTGGAACAGTATATCGATACCTTCTTATCCGCAACTTTGGCTTTCTTTCATATCATTATCGTAGCGGCGGCGAGCGCCGGTCCCCGACTCCGTTAGCCCGACAGTTGATCAGGTGGAATCATTGTCCCCAGCGTGTTCTCAATCAGCTCACTCCAAAATTCGTATTCTGACTATCTCCGCGGCGCCTGTTTCTTTATTACTCCGGCTCACGGCGTCAAACAGCCAGCCAGGACTTGGCACAACCGTAATAATTAGCGGATTTATGGTTCAATAACCATTAATTTCACCGCTCAAGCGTGTTGCTAGCTACAGACTAGCCCGCAGTCCTTACTAACTCCTTCGCAGCAACGGTGACCCCCTCTCCCTGCTTTGAACCTCCCCCTCGAATCTAAGTGACACGTACGACTGCAGCCGTGTGCTGGCACCCTCAGGCTCCACACCGCCAATTTTTGGCTACGCTTCAAGCTTGAGGTTAAGTATGTCCGATATAGGGTCCTCGAAATAAATTTCAAGTTGATTTTTGAAAAAAGACAATTATAGGGTGATATGATAGTGACCTTATATTACAAGATGATGCAATCTCATGGCATGATGATGCTCAACGCATTGCCAAACTCAACGCAGTGAATTTTTGTTCAAATGTTCTCAGCATTTGCTAAAACTAAAAGTAGCCCACTTTTGCTCAACAATAGTGAATACTTTCTAGTTCTCCCTAACTTTAGCATTGCGTCTCCAAGTTTCAAAAGCGGATTTATTGTTAAACTGCATTGGTACGTCATTCCTGGTGCTCGAAGCGCTACTTGTCCTTGTCATAGCTAATAGGGAAGTAGACTCCGAGAGCGTCGTCCTCCGCTAAATAGGTATGTCAGTATCGTGGTGTTAACTTATAGTCATGAAAACTTACAGCGCTTCTTGTCGTCGTCGTAGCTAATCGGGAAGTAGACTCCGAGAGTGTCGTCCTCCGCTAAATAGGCATGTCGATATCAGCATCTTAGTGCTACTGACGGTTATGAAAACTTACAGCGCTTCTTGTCGCCGTCGTAGCTAGTCGGCATGTAGACACCAAGAGCGTCGTCCTCAGCTAAACAGGTATGTCGATATTAGCATCGTGGTCTTAATTGACGGGCGTGAAAACTTACAGCGCTTCTTGTCCTTGTCGTAGCTAATCGGGAAGTAGACACCAAGAGCATCGTCCTCCGCTAAATAGGTATGTCAGCATCGTGGTATTAACTGACGGTCATGAAAACTTACAGCGCTTCTTGTCCTTGTCATAGCTAATCGGGAAGTAGACACCAAGAGCATCGTCCTCCGCTAAATAGGTATGTCAGCATCGTGGTATTAACTGACGGTCATGAAAACTTACAGCGCTTCTTGGTCTTGTCGTAGCTAATCGGGAAGTAGACACCAAGAGCATCGTCCTCCGCTAAATAGGTATGTCAGCATCGTGGTATTAACTGACGGTCATGAAAACTTACAGCGCTTCTTGTCCTTGTCATAGCTAATCGGGAAGTAGACACCAAGAGCATCGTCCTCCGCTAAATAGGTATGTCAGCATCGTGGTATTAACTGACGGTCATGAAAACTTACAGCGCTTCTTGTCCTTGTCGTAGCTAATCGGGAAGTAGACACCAAGAGCATCGTCCTCCGCTAAATAGGTATGTCAGCATCGTGGTATTAACTGACGGTCATGAAAACTTACAGCGCTTCTTGTCCTTGTCGTAGCTAATCGGGAAGTAGACACCGAGAGTGTCGTCCTCCGCTAAGTAGGTATGTCAGCATCGTGGTATTAACTGACGGTCATATATACTTGCAGCGCTTCATGTCGTATACGCCACGGGCCTCATCCTCGCGCTTTGCTACGGCTGCATGTCATGTTAATAACTATGATACTAGTACTGATGTCACGAATACTTGCAGGACTGTCCCGCAATCCCTGACATGGGGTATGCGACCGCAAGAGCCACCATGGCGGCAAGTGCATTAAGCAGGAGAGAACGCTGCATGTTTGAAGTTGAGAAGAGTAAAGTTTAGAGCTTCGTTAGTGCATACTTCTCAATTCAGGGGACCTTCTTATACCTTGTCGTAGGTTCGCTTATCCAGTCGGACCTTGCTGGAATACTACGTGGCGCCACATTCAACTAATTCATCAAACATTTTTAGGATGCATCCTGTCCTTCGATTGTTGATTAAATTGGTATTGGTATAGAAGTCAACACACGACGTGCCTTGTGACGCACTTATGGAGCTAGAAATGAGCTAGACGGATCGGAAGTGCAATCAACCAGATAGGAAATGACATGGGTATGCACAACTTGCTCGCCGTTGTTAGTACCACTCGGGGATAGGTGGGACTCATCACTAATTCAGATAATTTTGCGAGCTATGGTGTTGCCACCAGGTTCCGGCGCAATGAGCGTGTCACAAGTGGCAGTAGCCCCACTCAATTCTTATTTTATTCTGCCATTTTATTTTGTGGCCTGTAATATAAATCTTGATCGCATGTGAAATAAAATGATGTAGAATTGAGTGCCTCCGTTTATTCTTCCGGTGAGTTCTTGGTGGGGATTATGCTGATTATGGTGCTTTTACATAGTCATATATTGCATTATATTCCAATGTGACGAAAACCTTTCCTATATATTACGATATATAACGATATATGACGATACCTTCTTCTCACAGGTTCTCTGATGTTGGAATACCAGAGCATTTTGTAAGTCGGTTGCCAGTTGGTCTCAGTGGCAGGCTGCAGCGTGAATGAGTGTATACAATGGACACACCAAACTGGATCTTTCCTGAACACAACACCTACGAGATCTATCTGTCGTCCTCATCTTCAGTACATACGAGTTGGCAGATAGCAAGAGCTTCGAGTTCCGTAGCTGGACGAAGCCGTGCCATTGAACTTGATGATATCCAATAGCGCTGCTAGACACGCCTGCGGTGTTGGTAAATTGAATCTCCGAGGGTGATACGCACTTGTGCGCAGTTTATTTGCCAAGCCTTAAATCTTGGATCATCAGGGTGCCGGCTGCCTGGGAACAGATTTCTATTGGTGCTCCACTCGGTCCGCCACGTCTGAAGCAGTAAAAGCACCACAATTAGCATAATGGCCAGCATTGACAGGCATTAACTCGCCTGGTCACTGATCGGTCAAAAGATCAACCTAATCACATCTCCGTTTGTACCCTAAACCTCGCCTACAGGGGATAAATGAAGAGATAATTGAATGCGGAGTAGATAGGTAGTGACAAAGAGGGTGACAAGGAAGGAGGAAGCGAACGGAGGGAGCGTACCCAACTTGGGCATCGCCACAAACGTGGACCTCTCGTATTATTCCTCGAACCCCGCGTCTTGTGTACAAATAAAGAAATTATTTCCTACACGGTCCGAATTTCGCTCAATAGTCAAATAAGTATGAAGAACAGTCTAACAACCTTGACAACCCTAATACGTTCTTCCCAAAAATATTCACACCCTGTAACACTCCACATAAGTGGAGGAGAACTTGCTCAGACATGCTCAGGCTACCCCCTAACCTCGCGCTTAAAGGATCGTATGTACTGGAACAGTATATCGATACTTTCTATCTGCAACTTTGGCTTTCTTTCATATCATTACTTATCTAGAATATTTGCAGGACCAAGGTTGATGACTTTCAAATTTCTTGCCTGACCACTGGGGAGTTCAATTGAGGTTTCAAACACCACCCGCTAGCCGATGTACGTACGTTGCTAGAAGAAGCCATCGTAAGCTGAGTTACTCGTCAATCATCCCCTTCCATACTTGCACTGCCCTTCCTCTAGTGCCAGCCAGCCAGGACTTGGCACAACCGTAATAATCTGCAGCCGTGTGCTGGCACCCTCAGGCTCCACACCGCCAATTTTTGGCTACGCTTCAAGCTTGAGTTTAAGTATGTCCGATATAGGGTCCTCGAAGTAAATTTCAAGTTGATTTTTGAAAAAAGACAATTATAGGGTGATATGATGGTGACCTTATATTACAAGTTGATGCAATCTCATGGCATGCTGCATGATGCTCAACGCATTGCCAAACTCAACGCAGTAAATTTTTGTTCAAATGTTCTCAGCATTTGCTAAAACTAAAAGTAGCCCACTTTTGCTCAACAATAGTGAATACTTTCCAGTCCTCCCCAACTTTAGCATTGCGTCTCCAAGTTTCCAAAGCGGATTTATTGTTTAACTGCATTGATATGTCATTCCTGGTGCTCGAAGCGCTACTTGTCCTTGTCATAGCTAATAGGGAAGTAGACTCCGAGAGCGTCGTCCTCCGCTAAATAGGTATGTCAGTATCGTGGTGTTAACTTATAGTCATGAAAACTTACAGCGCTTCTTGTCGTCGTCGTAGCTAATCGGGAAGTAGACTCCGAGAGCGTCGTCTTCCTCTAAATAGGTATGTCAGTATCGTGGTGCTGACTTACAGTCATGAAAACTTACCGCGCTTCTTGAGAGCGTCGTCCTCCGCTAAATAGGTATGTCAGTATCGTGGTGCTAACTCACAGTCATAAAAACTCACAGCGCTTCTTATCCTTACCCTTATCGTCATAGCTAATAGTGAAGTAGACTCCGAGAGCGTCGTCCTCCGCTAAATAGGTATGTCAGTATCGTGGTGCTAACTCACAGTCATAAAAACTCACAGCGCTTCTTATCCTTACCCTTATCGTCATAGCTAATAGTGAAGTAGACTCCGAGAGCGTCGTCCTCCGCTAAATAGGTATGTCAGCATCGTGGTATTAACTGACGATCATATATACTTGCAGCGCGTCATGTCGTATACTACGGCACGGGCCTCATCCTCGCGCTTTGCTACGGCTGCATGTCATGTTAATAACTATGATACTACTGATGTCACGAATACTTGCAGGACTGTCCCGGAGTCCCTGACGTGGGGTATGCGACCGCAAGAGCCACCATGGCGGCAAGTGCATTAAGCAGGAAAAAACGCTGCATGTTTGAAGTTGAGAAGAGTAAAATTTAGAGCTTCGTTAGTACATACTTCTCAATTCAGGGGACCTTCTTATACCTTGTCGTAGGTTCGTTTATCCAGTCGGACCTTGCTGGAATACTACGTGGCGTCACATTCAACTGATTTATCAACATTTTTAGGATGCATCCTGTCCTTCGATTGTTTATTCAATTGGTATTGGTATAGAAGTCAACACATGACGTGCTTTGTGACGAACTTATGGAGCCAGAAATGAGCTACATAGACGGATAGGAACTGCAATCAACCAGATAGGGAATGACATGGGTATGCACAACTTGCTCGCCGTTGTTAGTACCACTCAGGGGTAGGTGGGACTCATCACTAATTCAGATAATTTTGCGAGCTATGGCGTTGCCACCAGGTTCCGGCGCAATGAGCGTGTCACAAGTAGCAGTAACTGGTATCATTGAATTATACCAAGGGTCGAATTAGCAAGACTTGTAATTCATAATGATATCGAGCGGGTCAGCGTATTAAGTCACTCCGAGTCGTCTGTCATTTGTGCAGTACGAATGTTCAGGGCAGTCACATAGTATAACCCGCACAGGACCTCAGGATGGCCCACTGGCATGTTCGCGAATTGCCAATGATAACTGTATATTAAATCAAAAACTCTGAAAATGGGTTTCTGTTGTGAACAACTTGGATTTCAATTAATGAAACATACGCTGCCTCGTGCCAGTGGGTTGTCAACCAACCCATGACTTGTCAATGAAATTATAGAGAGCCGTCTCACGGGTAATCTGGTGAGTGATACAATTTTTTTGGCTTGAGATCTTGACGCGAACGTGTCACGCTGATCATGCACACCATTGCCAAGCCTTAAATCGTGGATCACGTCATTAGATCAGGGTGCCAGCTGCCTGGGCAGTGCTATTGGTGCCCCACTCGGTCCGCCACGTCTGAAGTAGCGAACCCAGGCTATCATATGTCATGAATCATCATAATAGACGAGACTTGTTGATTATAGCCCTGTCTTGTCATGCCCTGTGAGTTTACAATGTAGACCTTTTCATATTCATTGAGAGATAATTTATGTGGGAAGAAGTTCATGTGACCCCTGTGCACTGATCCCTCTCCGCTGTTCCTTTAAGCGCGAGGTTAGGGGTATGTGAGCAAGTTCTCTTCCACTTATGTGGAGTGTTACAGGGTGTGAATATTTTCGGGAAGAACGTATTAGGGTTGTTAGACTGTTCGACTATTTCCCCGTGGTGAGCGAAATCCGGACCGTGTAGGAAAGAATTTCTCTATTTGTACACAAGACGCGGGGTTCGAGGAATAATACGAGAGGTCCACGCCCAAGTTGGGTACACTCCCTCCGTTCGCTTCCTCCTTCCTTGTCACCCTCTTTGTCACCACCTATCTACTCCGCATTCAATTATCTCTTCATTTCTCCCCTGTAGGCGAGGTTTAGGGTACAAACGGAGGTGTGATTAGGTTGATCTTGTAACCGATCAGTGACCAGGCGAGTCAATGCTGGCCATTATGCTAATTGTGGTCCTTTTACATAGTCTAACGAAATCTTTTCAATAGATGACGATTAGTATGACAAAATATCTTATTCTCACCGGTTCTCTGATTGGTGCCGCGGCAGCGTACAACGCAACCGCACTACGTGGCAATGTCCTCGACACACAGTAGGCTCGTGACCAGCCTTACACAACCACGAGTGTGCGTACGGCAGAATGATTGTGAGTCTGATCACACAGCCAGTCCGCCGGCTTGGAACCTGCAAGACACACCCGTCAGCATACCAATACCCTCAATAGGCACTCGCCAGCGTGTTACTCCATCGGTCATGCATCAGACGAACGACTCTGTTTACCCGTACCGTAGTACGACGGAGCCGCGTCATATTGAACGTTCGAACTTTCGCAAGCCAACCACGTCGCAGACACGAGCGCGATGATGGTATATTGAACCTCCGATGGGGTGGACATTTGCGTGCAGTTTGTTTCTCGGATTCTGTGAAGTGACAGCACGTAAATTGGAAAAATAAAATGGGAGAATAAAATAAGAATTGAATCCGGCTAACGATATGGGTGTTTTAGTTCGTTCGTTTTCCTGACAAGGGTACGTCATCGAAGTAGTTTTTCAAACGACGTGTGGCAGTGGCTTCAGGGTTTATGATGAGGCAGAGCATAGAAGAGGTATCACAAGTCGGCAACCTAAAGCGCATCAAAGGATGTATCCAAATTTTCTCTGGTACTGTGGATATTTTACAAGGGAATAGTACAGATAGATATCAATGCATACCTGCGTCTCGTATGTCAGACTAGCTCTAGGCTAGTTACTGCCAGTGCGTACGTATAATCATATCAGCGGACATAAATATTCCTCATACCCGTTGTCGACAGAGGGAGTTTCTTGTGCGACAGTTTATAAGTACTATGGAACTCAGTTCATAGTCAAGTTATAGTTACATTCGTGATTTAATAGCATGCCCTCTGGATCCTCTATGGGTCGAGAATACAATTAAGGGGGCAAAGGAAGGGCAACATTGTCCTTTTGGCGGATCAGCTTGGATTTAGGGACATAAATACGACGACCATCCACCCAATCCAAGATCTTCTCGAGGTCTCTACATTGATGAGGGATGTTGAAGTTTGGGTAGGGGACATCGAGTCCCTCAACCCAATCGTAAGTAACCATTGTTACATCAGAGTGGCACATAATGATCTGTCTGAGCAATTCGACGCAGTGATCTGATGTATAACATTAGCAGGCAGTATGCAGGAAGTGGTGACAGTATGCTAACCAAGATGGATGCGCCATTTGTCTGGGGATTTGATGAAGTCAGCATCGGTTGCTGTGTAATGGTCACCCCAGCCGGATTGGCGAACCATGTTCTATAAGGGGTAAGTAAAGATCGAGCAGCCTTTTGTTACGACTGACTATGCAATGAAGCTGGTGAATGACCTCCACTGTCGCCACATAATCCCCACCATACTCTTCCGGATACCTAGCCATGAATGGGGCAGGCTCTTCCCCTATTTTGAGTAGCTCTTCGAGCGTCATAGACATTAGGCGCCCTGAAAAGGTTATCAATCAGTAATCACCTCGACAGGAGTAAAGTACAATATGCAACCATCGGCAGTTACTCTATCCCAAGCTGCTTCGAGATCTGGAGACGGACTGCCGCGATATGCCGAAGGACGATCCCAACTTCCATTGAGTCTCACAATGCCTTTGGATTCAATGGCCTCGTTTGCTGGAGCTGTGATGGGTCAGGAAGGTATTTCTGTCATGCCGTCTGTCCACCTACAGAACAGGAGTATGTCATCCTTCGAAGGTGCCCATGCCCATAGCGTGAAGAAGAGTAGCGTTATGGATATCAGCACACCATGTACGAGCCACAGTGATACGTAAAGGAAGCGAGACTTTGAATGAGGTCTGGTTTCTGTACTATGTAGAAAGTTTGCGTCCTCGTCATCGGGTTCGTTGACAGGAGAATACTGAGCAGAATATTCCTTGGCCATGACGTACGGAAGAAGAAAGACCACTTGGGTATGGATTCGGAGCGGACACACAGGACAAACCTTTGAAGCGTTTGCAACGTACAGCCTGTGGACCTCGGAGACCTACAAGTGCCAACGATTGGATCAGAAGAGATCCTGCTTAAATTTACGCTATCCTGTGCCATCAGATCTCAATGAGCTGGCATTGCATAGTACTTTCCAGATCGACACATTATGACGAGAAGTCAATCTCGGCACTAGATCCTAGGCACCAGTGTTGACGCGACGGGAGAATCAGTTCTGGGGTTGCCAAGTATGCGTTGAAATTTACTATGCTCCGGAGCTCCTGGTTGTTACGCTAGTAGTAAAAACGCTTTCATCCCGAGGTAAAGTTTTGTACCTTGTGTAATTTGTATCATAGAAAAGTCTGTTTAGTGACAGCCACTACCGTCATATTACTAATAGACTCTTCCAGCGATGTCCGTGACTTGATCAATTTCGAGCAGAGATGAATATACCTTGCTAGCCTGCAGGGAATTGAGTGGTGCGATCAGCTGGAAGCAAAGAAGTCTTGCAAACCACGCCGCTGGCAAAATAAATAACAAATAACAGTACATTGCGGGTCCGGCAACTCCGACGCTGTGAGAAAGTTGGTGATTTGGAGATATGCATGGTTGCGGAACCTGTTCCACCACAGCGAGCATATCCAGTGTACGTGTATGTGCGAACTTTTGATCCGAGTGCATAACCGTCTTCGATTAATATTGTGATCAGACTTCTATCTATCAAAGGTTGCCAGCAAATCCCCTTCCCAGAAAAGATGATCGAAACGACATATTTCATTGATCAACTAGTTTGGTGAGTAGTAACGACAAGCGTGTCAGATTCCTTGATTGCACGTTTCAAGCCGTTGCGTAGTCAGCGCTTCAGCACTAGCTCTCAAAACATACTGCAGCGTTTACGACTTTAACATTCACCCCCTCCACGTCAAGGACTCACTGCAAAGCATTCGCACGTAGTTTTTCTCGCCAGCTTTCGTATTCGGCTCAGAAAAGTAGACGCAGCTGGTAACCACGGGAGCCAGCATGTCTAAAGATTCTTTACACTCTTCTGACGAGGAGACAATCTTCGGTGACGTAGACAGGCCCGGTGCAAAACCTCATATCAAATCTCGCATTCTTCACCTGTGGCCTTGGTTGAGCATTGGTTCGCTTATAGTCACATCCGTGTCCTCCTTCACGCTGTGGATGAGCACGTCTTCTGCTCATCTTGCTATATACTGTGAGTAGTCAGATGGTGCTAGATGGTCAAAATGTTGACCAATTGCAGCTCCAGCAAGTGTTGCTGTTGAGCCTGTTATTACAAGGTTCAATGGGACCATCACTTTTCCTTCTATCTATCGTATTCACAGTGGACCTCTTGAAGCTCCCGACTATCATGGCCCTCCTTCCCCAGAAATCGATGCTGCTTGGGCCAGGATTTCTGATGATGGTGTGGCATTCAATTTATCATGTTGTACTGTCGGCCGTTATTCACTTCCATGAAATCACAGTGCCACCAATCCGGGTTACGATTGATGACCTACGTAAAGCTGGAGAAGTAGATTTGCCAGCGAAGGTTAAGTATCCACAAAGTAGCGGTGGAGGTTTCATGGCATCGTTGGAAGTCAATCATCAAATGCGTTGTCTGGTAAATTATGCCTATGCTACAAGTAGAGCTCGGTCATATTTGGTTGATAATTGTGTAGAACATCCTTCGCAAATCCTCTTGGCCCGACCATTACAAATTGGACCCCTGGTTGCAGCGGGACCCCTCGGTAGTTCGAATGCATCTTGGTAAGTTTTCCTCCTTACCTGACACACGTCCTGCTCATGGCATCCACCTTAGATGATTGCATCGAACTGATCAGGCAGTCTATCATGTGCCATGCCGAGGTTGCGATGATCACGTGGGACTGGGTGAAGAACCACAACCAAGCCTACCCCAACTTCAACACCCGTCATGCATGTAGGAAATATGAGAACGTGATGGACTGGGCTATCCAACATGGTGATCGATCCGAGGTTACTCGGATGGAGGATACGATTGACCTCCCTTTCCCTCATCAGTACAGTATATGATGCATCTTGCGGGATGAGACATCGCACTATGATAATGATTGCGCATGTTCTTCAAGGTGATGCGTGACGCGGAGAAGCTATAAATAAGAATAGTGATAACTAGGGCACTGATAATTGACTTAACATATTGGTGACATAGTACAATCGCACATTGACGAAAACCACCCCTTCCTGTGCCTCAAAAATAGCTGTGATGAAACCGACCCGGTCCCCGGATAGAGAAGAGAGTCAACAGTCTCTAGGTCAACACGAAGCTCTAGAACATCCTATAATGGAAAGCTTGCAGAAATGGTCCGCCAATGGGCTCAGCGAGGACTGAATGACCAGCGCACAAAGAATTTGAGGTCGGGTGTAGCCGGATCAACAAGAGCCCTCCTCCACCGACGTTGGGATCTCGTTTCATTGTTGGCGTTGACTTACAAAGTACTCTTACTGAGGGACCCAGATGGGACATAAGCAAAGTAGCGTGCACTGAATTTCCAATTAGCGCTGAAATGAATATTTACCGCGGCCAACGAGTTCCGTGCGCCATCAACCTTAAATTAAACCGCAGGCTTGAAGTACGAATCGTGAAACCGCCAAGCTCGGAAGTTGAGTCGAATGCATAGTAAGCCGGACCATATTATAAGACAGTTCAGTTCCCGCAGCACGGGTGGCTTTATACACATGCGCCCCTTCCCACAATTAAATCATCACTTATCGTGCACGGACCGTATCTACGTCAACCTCCATGAACCAACTTTTAATCGACAGCCGCGGTGTCTCCACTTCACTTCGTTTTAACGAGGCCTCATTCTTCATCGAACCTACAAAGCTCGACGGTCACAATTCTTCTTGCTGCGCAGGCATATACGCTGACAGAGAAGTTAAGTGCACAGAGGTGCCCCTTCGCAATGTCATTTACACCAAAGTTACATCTGGCGTCATAGAGGTACAATACCTGGTTCGCAAGGGCAAAGAGAGCCGTTTGAACCTTGCAACAACAACCGGCGCAGTTCAGAACGAAGATAGCACGCGTGTCAAGAAGTGGTGCGAGGCGCTGCTTCTTGCTGCGTATCAGGGTTTGTCAGACTCCATAACGCGTAGTATGTTTACTACTTATCTGGCTCATTAGGCGCGAATCCGTCCAAGAATCTCAAGGTGCTCGTTAATCCACATGGTGGAAAGGTCAGCTTTATCAAAATCCTTTCTATGCTTTTATGACCATCTTTCTTAGGGGAAGGCAAGAGCATCATACGTCAACAAAGTAGAACCCATATTCCTTGCGGCTGGATGTACATTGGATGTAACTTGCACGTCATAATTTCATGGCATCCTTGCTTCACACTCACTGATGTATTGCCATACAGACACCACCCATGGTGGTCATGCTATTGAAATTGCTCGCGAAATGAAGCTGGGATATGATGCCCTGGTCGTTGTATCTGGTGACGGTTTGATCCACGAGGTCCTCAACGGAATAGATCAGCATGAACACCGCGACCAGGCATTTTGTATACCAATAGCACCTATACCGACTGGCTCCGGTAACGGAATGTCTCTTAATCTACTGGGCCTGCAGGATGGGCTTGATGTTTGTGCAGCAGCTCTGAATGTCCTCAAAGGTATGTTCTGCCTTTCCTTCTAAACGCTAGGAACGCTGAATATTGGGAATCAGGACAACCATTGAAAACCGATCTATTTTCCTTCACCCAAGGAAATCGTTGCCGGATATCATTCATGTCACAAACTATCGGAATAACGGCAGATATCGATATTGAGACTGAACATTTACGATGGATGGGCGATACCCGATTCATCATAGGTTATATCCGTGCCAGTCAGTCATTGCTGCACTCTCCTGTCACCTTTCTGACTCCTTTAACTCAGTTATTGCCCGCAAATCATGTCCGATCGAGTTATCAATGAAGGTCGTCGAACAGGACAAATCTCGCATGATGGATGTTCTTCATGCACGACGAGCGGGCGAATCACCTAGCCCATCTAGCGTTCCTAGCTTGCTCAGTGCGGACAAGAAACCCGATAGTTCAAGCTCTTCACATGAGGAGTGGACCCAGTTTAAAAGACCTATCCTATGGATGTACGCCGGCAAAGGGCCGTTCGTTAGTCGGTAAGTAGCAGTATACTGTATTAAAATTTTAACTCATGAGCCCCACTCCTAAGGGATTTGATGCAATTTCCCGTCTCTTTAGCTGATGATGGACTTATCGACATTTCCGTACAAGAAATAGTAAGTACGTTATAATTTGTTCTTTTGATGCATTTGACACCTTGTTCGAAGACCAGTCGACGGGCTCTTTTACGGGCCATGGACGGTGCTGAAGAAGGTCGGACGTACTGGATAAACACGGTAATTTTCTCATTCTTCATTCGTGCGTACGACTCACCAGGTATACAGAACCGGTACTTCAAAGCCTCTGCTTACCGCGCAAGGCCACTCGCCCCGAAAGGCATGCTCGTGGTGGATGGCGAGCAAGTTCCCTTCGAAGAGTTCCAGGTAGACGTCCTCAACGGACTTGGCACCTTTTTAGCCCCGTATCCTCATTATGCGCCGGAGTTTCTTGTACGAGATATTGAAGGGAATACCTAGGAGACCAGTGTATGATTATAGTTTCAATGATACCCTTCTTGGTCATTGAACTGGTTGTGACACCTATGCCATACTAACTACTTGACAAGCAATCTAGCCGCATACAGTGGTATCGTTTGAATTTGATGTCGTCATTACTGATGGCTCGGCGGACAATGCGATCTACATGCATATCCCCATTAACTGCCAGGGTCAACCAACCGTGTTCCATAACCATTGTTTGCGAGGGTATTGTATGTAGTGCACGACGGGCAGAAAAACGGAATGGCCAGTGGCCCAGTGCAATCTACCCCTCATCCGTCTATAAATTCACTCTCCACAAGTGCAATATCATCAGAGTCACCGTCATTCTGATCATCAACTACCTCCGGTAAACCGAAGTAGTAACCCAGGTTCTCCCACAAAACGGACCGTGTTTCCAAACTGCGGGACCCCAGCGCCTGCAGGGAATTGTAGCAGGGATATTGTTGAAGTGTTGTCTGGGAGCCAATCTCCTTCAAGACACGTAGGAAATCTTGAGGCGGTCCCTTCAACAACTTTTTCTTGTTGTCGAGTTGAATACAATTCTGCGAGTCGCACATGCATTGGCTTTCCTGCGCCTCAAATGTTTGAGCGAAGTCCGTCATACAATGCCTGCCTCGTGCTAGGCAAAGCCAATCATCAGACGTTAAGAGCCCCCATCGGGCGCTGCGTTCTCCAGGCTGCCACAAAAGGACGTTCCCTTGAGAATCAGTGAGTGGAGGGGGGTTCGGGCTGCGTAGGGTATCAAAGTCCATGAAAGGACTGATTGTAGATAGCATATAAAACGCAGCTGGCAAAATTTCTGGGATATTGGCCTCTCTAGCCAAGCGTATGGCAGAAGCAGGTTCCAGCATACGATTATCGATGAACTGACTGGCCGCATCATGCTGTGGTATTATGGATGCAGAAATACTGGCGTAATGCTCCATGAGTCTGTCCCATTCAGGGAGGGTGGATGGCCAGTCTGCCCGGAAGCGAGCCCTGAGCAGCTTCTGCAGGACGCGCACAAAATATTTCTGCGATAGCAGGAGAATTCCCTTGTACTTGGTTGCGGCAAGAGGGTTTCTATTCTCCAACATGGATAGTATGGTGCTAAAAGCGTTTTGCTTAAGAGCCAGGAGGGCCCATACAAGCACAGTGCTCACCCCGGGTAGTAAAGGGCTCGAAGCAGGTCTTCAAGATCCTTTGCATCATCTGGCATCTGTATCGAATCTACACCATCATACGTTTCATTCTCTGCGGTAGAGGGTAGCACAAACATATCCGCAAATACTTTAGAGTGCGATGCGAGCACAGACTTGTGAACTCGAAACGCATGGGTTTTCCCAGCATGAGCGGCTAAGAGGACCACACTGCCATCAGCATAGTATAGGTCTTTGTGACGCACAAATTCGTCCTCGAGAACCTACAATGGTTGGAGGTGTGATGATAAATGGCATTGTTCAAGTTTACTAGATCTCACTTACCATTCGCCTATAAGATGCAGCTCAGCGGCGGTGAGGAGAGGCGTGACAAGTGTGGGGTGTGATGGTGTGCGTGCCTCGACGCGTGACAAGCGCGGTCGTTGAATCACGTGGTATCCCTCACGGGATCGGACTTTGAATTCAACCCTTCATAAGACTCAGCACATAAACGTCGCGTCCCCTCAACACTCTTTCCCTAACCACCACCCACTACCGCCACTCCTACCTGGTGTGTATACATTTGCGATATCGCAAGGTAAATGCAAACTGACTCATGTTGACAGTCACATACCTGTATAGTTTGTAAATTAAGCAAAACAATGGCACCTAAAGTGAGTCGATTCGTGATCCATATGGTTCTCATGTGTTAATTCAAGGACCTATCTTAGCCCGCATCCACTGCTGCCAAAGCTCCTGCATCCACCGCCTCCAAAGCACCAGCTAAGGCTGACTCTGGATCAAAGGCTGCGAAGAAGACCGCTGCTAAGCCACAGGCTCCCGTTGAGGGTGAGAAGAAGAAGCGCCGAAAGGTCCGCAAGGAGACGTACAGCTCGTACATCTACAAGGGTGCGTTCATAGGTTGTGGTAGCGATTATGCAGAGCTGATTTTGCTGTGAAGTCCTTAAGCAGGTCCACCCCGATACCGGTATTTCAAACAAAGCCATGGCTATCCTGAACTCGTTTGTCAACGATATCTTTGAGCGCATTGCTACCGAGGCATCCAGTATGTTTCCATCACTTGTCGTATACCAGGCAGATCCTTATAGTATACCTCAGAGCTTGCTGCTTACTCCAAGAAGTCGACAATCTCGTCGCGTGAGATTCAAACATCTGTACGCCTGATCCTGCCAGGAGAGCTGGCAAAGCACGCCATTTCTGAGGGTACCAAATCTGTTACCAGTAAGCGCCGTCTCATTCAAGTCGTAGGTGATGATGTTGACCATTATTTCAGAATTCTCTGCTGGTTCTAAGTAATCTTCGCATATTTCACCGTGTATTGTTACCATACCGTGTACCTTTCGTTATTAGAGATACCTCCACAGTACTCCCATCGCATGGGGCGCAAATATGAGTCGCCCATAACATGCTTCAATTGATATTCCTTTGACCTTACC